GCATTGGGTTCTGCTTGTGTTGTTTTCCAGACTTCAAATGCTAGTAAAAGCCGAGTAGTGCTTTCCAGTTCCAGACCCACAACATTGCTTCAGCACTTGCTGTGACTCTGAATACTCATTCTGTTGAGTAAGTCTGTTTGGGCTTACAACCGATAGCTATCTTGTTGTTGGCAATATTGGGTGCCTTTCAAAGTTCCAGCTACCACTGCTTTACTGTGGAAGTGGTAAAGCGTAAGGATTGAGTTCTGACATTATCCAATGATTTTAGTGTTGCACATGTGCTCTCAGGCTATTCAACATAGAGGAAGCATTATCCCATTACTGCTTCTACTTTGAAAAGGCGCTTCATAGAGCTCCAATCTCCAGTTGGTTTCCACTGTCCACCCCCCAATGACCTGGTCACCTTCAGCCATCTGACCCTCATCAGTCACCAGCTGCCTTGGTTTGTGAGTACCTGAGGACTCGCCTCGTACTTTGAGCTAAGTTGTATCACAGCTACATGGACACAAGGTGTGTGCACATAGACACAGAGGGCAAGCCAGTGACCATGTAGTTTTATGTCCACATAATTTGTAGACTGTAGGTGAGGCAACATCTTTTCCGTTAAGTGAGGCAATGTCTCCTTTCCTGTTGTAAGGGGCCTCCACGGCATCACAGGACTTTGTCACTAGATTCACTCAATTCCCCGTGGATACTGACCACAGAGGCTGTAGTGTTCCCCAGCATAGTCTATCACTGACCTTTCCGAGACCTTAAAACAGGCCGGTCCACTGGTCACTGCACCCATCTATGACTCTGATACAGTCTGAAGAAACTGACCTTCAGACACTGCCGTCTTCTGCCATCACTTCATAAGCACTTATTTCTAACCTTATTAATGCAGTGTGTACTACCCTGCATTTGTAGCAAGAGCCTGCTGCTTCTGCCCTGAATCTTTCAGAGCTCCTACAGTTGGAAAGACCTTCTCACGCAAACTTTTTGAGATGTTTGTGTGTGTGTGTGTGTGTAGACTGGAGGCACCTTGAAGGGTCCTGAGCCCCATCTGAGTGTGTTATGATCTATTCCCCTTCCTCAGGTCACTGGGTCCTTTTTATCTTTCCCATGTGTTAAGATTCTGGAGTTGTGCCCTATCTGATCCTTCCCTCCCAGATGGCGGCCGGGCGAACAGCTCGTCCCTCTGTGTGCACGCCATATGGCGTCCTGTCTGGAACGCAAATGCTTGCAGGGCCCGCGCTGCGGCGCGATCTCTCACCGGCTGTGTACCTCGGACATGGCGGATGACAGATCTGTGTACCAGCCCCGTTGCCAGTACCATGTGACCTGCTGTGACCAATCGCAGCAGGTCACATGACAGTTGTATACAGTGGATGGCTTCCTTTCATGCCATCCATTGTATACAAGTGTGTCTAGCTGTGAATGGCCACAGTGATCACATGCACAAGCTGGGCCAGTCACAGCCCAGCTGTGTCATGTGATTAGCCGTGGCCAAATCACAGCTAATAAGAAATAAAAAAAAAAAAAAGCCTGAATTAATCGATTTCATTCAGGTAAATGCTTGCTTATAGCAAAGACATTTTTTGCTATAAGAAAAATGTGTACCAAAAAAAAAAAATACTGATCACTTCCCTAAAGTAGTACAATATTACTATGGCAACATTATACTACTTTGTTCATAGTGCAATATGAAAAAAAAATCTTAAAAATAGAGAAAAAAAATTAATAAATTAAAAATAATCTTTTTTTTTTTTTTTCGTACTCTCACCAGTCAGTGTCCCTGATCACCGCCATGCCAGCTATATGATGATGCTGTACTGCACTGGTGACAGTATGTATAAAAAAAAAAAAAAAATTTTCATTTCTTCATTTTTTCTAAAAATGACAAATTACAACCTCCAAAAACGCGCCATGCCTGTTATGAAATACATCAGACTGTCTGCAAAAAGGGGTCATTTGGGGGATATCTGTACTGTTCTGGGATTCTTGGACCTCAATAAATTAGATTGGCTGTCAGTACTTCAGGATTGATCAATTTTCAGATATCCCATAGTTTGTGAACTCAACTTTCCTACAGACTAAATAATAAATACCACTTTGGGTTATTTTCACCAATGAAATGTAGCAGAGTACATCTTGGACTAAATTTATGAAAAAATAATTATTTACCAGAAACAAAGAAAAACATGGGTTTTTTATGTTTTGATTAACAAAAAAAAAGACTGAAAATTTTGAAAAAAAAACCCAAGTGGTGATTAAATACCACCAAAAGAAAGCTCTAGTTTTTCTTCATTTTCTATGATAACTCTGGAGGAGCTGCAGAGATCCACAGCTCAGGTGGGAGAATCTGTCCACAGGACATTAGTCGTGTACTCCACAAATCTGGCGTTTATGGAAGAGTGGCAAGAAGAAAGCCATAAGAAGTCCCGTTTGCAGTTTGTGAAAAACCATGTGGGGGACAAGGCAAACATGTAGAAGAAAGTGCTGTTGTCAGATGAGACCAAAATTGAACTTTTTGGCATAAAAGTAAAATTAAGTATGGTGGAAAACTAACACTGCACATCACCCTAAACACACCATCCCCACTGTGCAACATGGTGGTGGCAACATCATGTTGTGGGGATGCTTTTCTTCAGCAGGGACAGGGAAGCTGGTCAGAGTTGATGGGAAGATGGAGCCAAATCTTAGAAGAACACCTGTTAGGGTCTGCAAAAGACTTGAGAGTGGGGTGAAGGTTCACCTTCCAGGAGGAAGACCCTAAACATACAGCCAGAGCTACAAAGGTATGGTTTAGCTCAAAGCATATTCATGTGTTAGAATGGCCCAGTCAAAGTCCAGACTTAAATTCAATTGAGAATCTTTGCCAAGACTTGAAAACTGCTGTTCACAGACGCTCTCCATCCAATCTGGCAGAGCTTGAGCTATTTTACCAAGAAGAATAGGCAAAAAACGTCACTCTCTAGATGTGCAAAGCTGGTAATGACATCCCTCAAAAAGACATGCAGCTTTAATTGCAGCGAAAGGTGGTTCTACAAGGTTTTGACTCAGAGGCTTCAAATTCACACCACACTTTTCAGATATTTATTTGTAAAAAATTTTCAAAACCATTTTTAATTTTCCTTCCACTTAACAATTTTGTGCCACTTTATGTTGATCTATCACATAAAATCCCACTCCAGCGGTCCCAGTTGATTGGAGTTTCACAGGCACAGGGGAGGTGTGCCTGGCGTTTCAGGGGCAATTGAGCCTTCCTGCCTCTTCCGGGGCACCGGGAAGGCATGTCCAGGAAAAGGCTGGCATCAAGGTGGCTTTTCGTCTGTATGGGGATTACCGGCCGCCTTGTTGAATCACACATGGTGGCCACAGTGGAGTCTGCTACTGGTTCTGCCAGAAGGCAGGCAGGAGAACCTAGGGCACAGGACCGTAAGTGGGAGCGAGGCTGTGGACCAAGCTTCGCTCTCAGCAGGACTTCCGGCGAGGGTGGGACTGCTGCCTTAAAGTTGGCATTTTTTTCCTCATGAGTTTGGTGAGGAGCCTCCAGGAATTACCTCTGGGATCCCGGCAAAGGTGACTCAGCCCCAAGGATAGAAGGCGAGGCAGTGGCTGCAGCCAGTGGGAACACCACGGCGGTGAGCCTGACTCAACTGGTGGGGAACAGGAGGGGGGTACCCACTAAAACTAAAGTTATACCTCGTGGGGGGAGGAATGCCATTTTAACATGGGCCTTTTTTTTTTTATATCTCTCCCTAGAGCCATGTGGAACTGTGCTAGAGAGCACCCACAAGACACCTAAGGCTAATGCCCCTGTACTCCAGGTGGTGTGGTTATTGCAGTGATAAATTTCCACAAGACCTTGCCAGACCCTTCTGCTACAAATCTATCCACAAGTTGTCAGGGAAAGAAACCTCTGCGGTTATGATGAAGGATTTTTTATTGATGCAAACAGATATGTTGGCCACCTTACAATCCTTCAAGACAGCTCTTGCATCCAAAGAGATGGATACCTGGTCCTCTTGGGAGGGGTTGGATAGCAGGGGGGGGGGGGGGGGGGGGGGGGGGTTTGGGTCCCTCATCCTCTCAGGTTACAGAGGAGGAAGACCTAGAGGAGGCCAAGGTTTCTGACCAAAGCTCCCTGGAAAAGGAGGAAGATTTGGAAGGTGATAGTCAGGCTAGCGAGGAATCTAAACCGGGTAGACACCTTTTTCCGGCAGATGATATACGGGGGTTCCAAAGGGCTATTTACGCCTCAGAGGACATCGAAGAACCACCGGTGCAGGTCTCAGCTCAAGATGAGATGTATAGGGGGTTGGTGAAGCCGCAGACTAGGGTACTACCCGTACACCAAACTCTCAAAGATATTGTCTTGAGAAAATGGAAAGATCCCAAGAGAAAGGTCCTAAAAATTTAAAACCTGAAAATGACGGTACCCCTTTTGGGGAAGAGGAGGAAGAGAAAAATTCTTCAAGACTCCCAAGCTAGACGCTGTGTTATCACAAGTGTCTAAAAAAAAATCTGACCTGTCCTTTGAGGGTTCAGGTAACATCAAGGATCAGGTGGACCGTAGGTCTGAGAGCCTGTTGCGTAGATCGTTGGAGGCCAATGCAGCTACTATAGCCCCAGCCTTTACATCTTCTTGCATCGCTAGGAATACTGATGCTTGGATCGAGAAGCAGGCAAATGGTGACAGGATTCCTATACAATACACAGTAATGTCGGAGGCTATAAAACACAATAATGTCCGAAGGTCATCAAAGCCATACCTGACAACCTACCTGTTGCCGAAAGGTTTCCAACGCCTATGCCAAAGAGAGACATTGTATTTACGCTTTGGACATAATATAACCTGGAGAAGATTATAGTATTTTTGCATATTTAGGGGATACTTTTTTTTTTTTTTTTGGCTTTTGAAATTGTGTGAAAACTAGTTTATTCAGTTGAAGAGGGCCTTACATCTGTGACTGCTAACTGTTTGGAGGAATATTTCTATGCAGATTATAATCTCAAATTCTGATTGCTTTCTAGAGTTGATGACATGAGAAGAGAGTACACAGGTGCCCTCTGTGGTCTGGGTTGGCATTATAGAAATCTTGCAGTATGGCCAGAACATGACATTGAACTAGCTTTTGATGTCCGCTTCACTGCTGAAGATCTTTTTAAGGTTTGTGATTGAACAGATGATTCTTTAGCTTTTTGACTTTAGAATTCTATATTGGCTTCACCTCTGCCTGTTTTTTTTATTTTATTACAGATAAATATGATAAGATCTGCTATAAACAGATTGGTTTGCTACAGTTATGGTGGCTCCATCAACAATGAACGGACTAGGCGGCTTCAGGAAGATGTCCGAGAGCAGCTGTTGAGGTATGAATCTTTTACATCCACAGTGAACAAACACTTCTGTCTTGTATATTACTACAGTTTGGTCTTTGATCTGTCAGCCATATAAAATGGTAGATTATCTAACACGTCATAACCTAATTAAGTTGCTCTGGAGGTACATTCTGTAGCACAGTGACAGTTCAGTAATCGATTATAATTAATGGATTGCTGCTTGCAACTGATAGGGTTATTGAACAACCTGTCATTTCAGCTTTGTCAGATCATGCCCCATTTTGAAAACTATTTCAGTTTTTTACTTACAATGAACTAGTGTGTACTAGACAACCTTTTTTCAACCACGTCCCACCCGTAATTCGTGTGTGTATGTGTGTGTATATATATATATATATATATATATATATATATATATATATTCATGACTGCAGCTACAGTCCTGATCCTAGCATGTATTTTTTTTTCTGCCAGTGTTTCTCTTTTTTGTATAAGTGATCTGAGCAGCTTTTCAGCCACAGTATAACCTTTACAGGCAGGGCATGGAGGTTCCCCCCGTTCCTTCCGCTGCCTTTACCAAGCTGCCATGTCCAGTCGAGGAGCCCAGTAACAGTGCAACCTGTTCAGAGAGGAAGGAATGGAAGTTCCCACCCCTCTTCTGTGATGTCAGAAACCAAAAGCAACGAAGATGGTCACTTCCAGTTTTGGTTTGACAAGCAGTTACCGGCTTGTGCAGCATTTGATCAAACTAATCTTGGTTTGATCAGATGCTTTGGAGGGCAGAGAAGAGATATGGGGTCTGATGGATCCCAGATGTTTCCAAAAAGAGGACCTGTCACGACCCATGCTATCACAAGAAATTTTATTAATCCTTTGTGACAGTAATACAGTTGATCAAAAAAAAATTTATTAAAGTTAGTGTTAAAAAAAAACCCAAAAAAAACACATTTACAGTGCCCCGTCTCCTTGGGCTCACACACACAAATGTGAATGCACACACTAGTCATGCATGCATATGTAAATGTTGATTGCACCACACGTGATATATCGCTATGAGCATCAGAGCCAGAGCAATAATTTCAGCACCATACCTTCTGTGTAACAATCTAAAGTTGTAACTTCTAAAGGCTTTTAAAGTGTCACCTATGGATAAGTTAATGTATCATAATAGTAGCAACATTACAATAGCCTACAACATTTTTAAAGTGTGATGTGTGGTATCCAATTATTCGGCGAAACGTCATCTTTTATATTTTACCAAAAAATGGGTTTTGTGTTTGAGTTCACTAAAATTCATTAAAATGTATTTTTCATAAAAATGTGTTGGGAAAAATGTTGCGCAAATGTCATGTGTCATTAAAAATCTACCACCAATTTATCCTCTAGGGCCTCTGCTTAAAAATATTTGTTTAGGGGGGTTCTACATAATTTTATAGTAAAAAAAAAAAAAATGCAGATTTTTACATGTAGCAGAGAAGTGTCAGTATTAGTCAGGGGGTCAAGTAGTTAAATAGATATTGGGGTTGCAGCTATGTTCAGTCAGAGTTCCAAAATTGAGGTTTGAGCTTACACTTTTAGCATTTGGACCAGCGCCGAATAATATTTAATGAGCATATCATCCCCTAGTCTACCCTGGTGTCCGTGTTCTTTCTTCATTGGAAGTCCTTGTTATGTCACAGATTTTCTAGCTTTGATTTTGTGCAGCTGAGCTTAGTGAGAAGAAGGGAGTAGATACATTTGTTTTATTGCTATCTGCCTGTCATTTTCTATCACTTCCTTCACTTTGACCTCTACCCTTCTTAGGCTGTCTTGTGCTAGAAAACTACTTAAAATCCCAAGCATTTTTTTTATTTAGGCAGAGACCATAGAGAATAAAATAGTGGTTGTTGCATATTTATGTCGCATGAGATTTTGTACAGCGGTTTTCAAACAATTTTTTTTATGCAAAACACACTTTAACTACTTGCCCTCCTGAGAATTTATCCTCCTTCCTGACCAGGCCTCTTTTTGCTACTCGGCGCTGCACTAATTCAACTGATAATTGCGCGGTTATGCAATGCTGCACCCAAACGAAATTTAAGTCCTTTTTTCACACAAATAGAGCTTTCTTTCGGTGGTATTTGATCACCTGTGTGCTTTTTATTTTTCGTGCTATAAACAAAAAAAGACCGATAATTTTGAAGAAAAACCTAATTTTTTTTACTTTCAGCTATAAAAATGATATAGTAAACTCAAAGTTAGTTATAAATTTAGGCCAAAATGTATTCTATAAAAACCAAAAATGTGAATATGGTATATCTCACAAAGACCCAATCACTCTCTGGATTCAAATTAGAAAAAACTTTCAACCCTTGAAAGTACAAAATTCAAAAAATATTCTAAAAAGAATCAAATATCCCCCTCATTAAACAAATCCCTAATTGGAATACATAAATAACTCACACCCCTTATAAGTGATAATAAATAATAGTCTTATCAACAATACTCATAAGTGTCCATTGTCTCAATAGTCCAAACCAATATTAGAAAGATGAATGTAATAAACTTGAAATTTCTTATAGTGTTGATTCCTTCCGGTGACTTTTATGAAAACCTCAAAAATAAAAAGAAACTAAAATAGTGTATTAACATAATACTAAAGGAGAAAAAAAAATATATCACAAAAATAGTGAAACACTCGTGAGAAATTGCAAACACTCATGCCAATTAGTTATGTGTTTCATTCAGTGAAAACCACTTCAAAAGTGTGACACTTCTAATAAGTAAGACATATATAACCTAACCAAAGATAAAAGAGAAAACTCCTTAGGATGACAGTTGCAGAAATCACCCAACAAATTTCTTTCTCCTCCTTTGCTATTGCAGAGTAACACTATATTATCATCCCTCCATGGTTATCCGTAAGCCTTGATCCAAATATTCCAGGCTCCAAACATATATAATAAGAAATGATGATAGTGTAACTCTGTATATTACAAGACCATATTGCTTTAATTGCTTACATGTAAATAGAATAAGAGATGCACAAAAAATATATCCCCCAGTTCCTGGGGATTACCAGGCAGTTCCCATGTGGAAAGTGCAGCGATTTCCAAAAGTAAAGATGGCCGCCGTATCACTTCCGGTTCCTGCTCCTTGCGTCCGACGTCACTTCCACTGATGCGTTTCGTCACATCCAGGACTACATGTTTTTCGTAAAAAAAAAAAAAACCCAATAAGTGTATATTGATTGCTTTGTGCGATTAGTTTATAGTGTCTACAAACTATGGTATAGATACTGCAATTTACGACATTTTTTTTTTTTTTTGGCTATACAGCGCTGTTAAACGGACAATTGCCTAGTCATGCAATACAGTACATAAATTTGTCCTTTTTTTCACACAAATAGAGCTTTCTTTTGGTGGTATTTGATCACCTGTGCGCTTTTTATTTTTGGCGCTATAAACAAAAAGTTTGAGAAGAGAAATTATTTTTGGAAAAAAATATTTTTCTCATTTCAGTCATAAAAAATATCCTAAACTAAAATTTCGTCATAAATTTAGGCCAAAATGTATTCTGCTACATGTTTTTGGTTAAAAAAAATCCCAGTAAGTGTATATTTATTGCTTTGTGTGAAAGTTAGAGATGAGCGAATCGAACATGGCGAAGTGGAATTCGTTTCGAAGATTAGGAAAAATTCGATTCGCGCCGAATCCGAAAATTAGCAAACTTCGGATGCACGAATCGAATTTTCCCAAAAATGGCGGCGACATGTGTGGCGACGGAGCGGGGATCTTTGGGAAGGCGCGCTGACCCATAAATGCATTCATTCATGACATGTGATCGCATTAGCCAATCAGCAGCCAGCCAGCCAGCACTGTGTAATGGTGGAGCTATAAATCGCGGCCATCTTAGAATTCTCCATTAGCCTCCGGTCATTCAAGAGAGACAGACCTGTCTGTATTAGGGACAGAGTTAGGGCCACAGAGACTTTAGGGACACAGAATCGTTACTCAGGGACACAGAATCGTTACTCAGGGACACAGAATCGTTACTCAGGGACACAGAATCGTTACTCAGGGACACAGAATCGTTACTCAGGGACACAGAATCGTTACTCAGGGACACAGAATCGTTACTCAGGGACACAGAATCGTTACTCAGGGACACAGAATCGTTACTCAGGGACACAGAATCGTTACTCAGGGACAGACACAGAATCGTTACTCAGGGACAGACACAGAATCGTTACTCAGGGACAGACAGAATTGTTACTCGGGGACAGACAGAATTGTTACTCAGGGACACAGAATTGTTACTCAGGGACACAGAATTGTTACTCAGGGACACAGAATCGTTACTGAGGGACACAGAATCGTTACTGAGGGACACAGAATCGTTACTGAGGGACACAGAATCGTTACTGAGGGACACAGATCGTTACTGAGGGACACAGAATCGTTACTGAGGGACACAGAATCGTTACTGAGGGACACAGAATCGTTACTCGGGGACAGACACAGAATCGTTACTCGGGGACAGACACAGAATCGTTACTCGGGGACAGACACAGAATCGTTACTCGGGGACACAGAATCGTTACTCGGGGACACAGAATCGTTACTCGGGGACACAGAATCGTTACTCGGGGACACAGAATCGTTACTCGGGGACACAGAATCGTTACTCACAGGGACACAGAATCGTTACTCGGGGACACAGAATCGTTACTCGGGGGGACACAGAATCGTTAATTTCTGCTTCACAACCACTATTGTACGTTCAAAGAGTTAAATCCTGTTATATGTTTGGGGTGCTTATTGAATTAAAGAGTATGTCGGACAACACGCAGAGGAGTGGCAGAGGAGGCAATGTTTCAGGAGCGAGCAGACGTGGCAGCAGAGGAAGGGGTCGAGGCAGCACTAGTCGCAGCCAGAGGCCAGTGCTCCCGGTGTCATCCAGCGGTCGTGTCTCCACCGACAACCCTGCCGTCATCGATTGGTTGACTCGGTCGTCTTCCTCTTCCCAGGTCACCTCTGACACCTACAGCC